CGAGAACAAGCAATCTACAAAGAGCGAAGAAGAAAACAGAGGAGAAAAAAAAACAATCAACAACACGAGCAAAAAAATTGAATTCTTTTGGCGTTGAATGTGTATGCACAAATGCTGAATTGCACATGTTCTCTCGTCATTTTTCGTGCTGTTCGAATTTTTCGTGGTTGGTGTCGTCGTCGTCATGTTGAATGCTGATGATTATATTTCATATGTATCGGTAATTTTTCCACCGAAACATTCGTTTGTCGTGGTTGGCGTCGTGTAGTGCGATTTTTCCCAGGTCAAAAAATGTCCAATCATTTGTGCCACATGAATGTTATCGACAACCAAAAATCGCACGACACTTTGCGCTGGTCCTCTGTGTGTGTGTGTTTGTGAGCGCCCGCTTGCTCGTCGCCCATTCACCTTGTCGTGTTACATGCAATCGCATTCCGAATGATTGGACACATAAGAAATAAACATTTTAATTTTCATTTATTTGGTTTTTTCTTTGGTTTTGTTTTTGGTGAATGACATTCTTCCACCAAATCTCGGTTGATGACGCGTTTATGTGTACAGTGGTCTCGTTTATTCTTTCTCTGGATGATGTTGTTGTTGTTTGTCGTTTGTTTGAAATTTTCATAATGTCTTCTTATAAACATTTATTGCCGTCATTGTTTCGAGATTATCGAATGAAGCCTGCACTTTCTTTCGCTCGATGTAGTGCACATTAAAACTTGGTTCATGTCTCTTCTTCTTCTCATTTTGCTTCGTCTTCTCTGCCATTTTCATTGAAGCTCTTTCCCTTGCTTGCTCAATGGCCTGGTTCACTTGATGCACCTCTCGACCTGACGAGATTTTCCCGCGCACTTTTCCATTAAGACGATTGCACACGTTTTTTTTTTCATTCGTTCTTCATTTATCGTTGTTGAAGTCTTTTTTTTCTCTCCTCAATTTTGATGATGTTTTCTTTTGGACGAGCTCCTCTCAAAAAAAAAATGAAGTAAAAAAAAATGAGCCCCGAGAAGCACAGCAGAATTTCATTAACACCTTCGTACGTACAATATGAAAAACTAAGGCAAGTAAATACAAAAAGTGAGAGAGAGATAGAGAGAAAAAAAATCGACACACCAACCGCACACAAGTGAAAACATTGCACTCAGCCATATCGAGATATCGTCGCGTCAATTTCAGCAAGACATTGAGTGCGTTTCAAATGAGATTGGTCCTCAGTAGCAAAGCGCAGTAGCAGTGTAAACGAAGGCAAACGAAAAAATATATATATATGGGAAAACAAGAGATTATTATTTTACGAATGCAAGAAAAAGAAGCGAAACCGCAACCGTTCTTGCATTATGCTATATAGTTTTTTTTTCTCGTGTTGTTCATGAAGTCAATGAGCACGAAAGGAAATAGTAGTGTGTTTTTTTCTGTTTCTTTTGCGGTGCCCGTGACTTGGTGTGCGCGCATAAAATTTAATCATCATCGTATTTTGAGTTGGACTTTTCAGCAACGAGCACAAGAGAGAGAGAGAAAGAGAGAGAGAGAAGAGTGTCGGAAGGGAAAAAAGCGAAACAAAACTTACAGCGAAAGACATAGAATTATGGTAATGTTGATCGTTATGCTTATTATGATACTGAACACACATAATTAAGCCAATTCAAAAGTAGCAAATTCTATTTGGTAAAAGATGGAAAAAAAGAACCATACACGACACACTGGCTTGGAATGAGAAGAACTTGCTGCACTCTCGAAATATTACATGGCATAAGATTATCCTATCGAGTAAAAATTCAGTTGAATCGAGGAATTGTGACGGGATGTGGCAAGATGGAGAGGAAAATTTGAGTTTTCCATTAGGAAATCGCCTTGAAACAATGATAATTCATTAAAATACCAAATCCATTTCGATGGAATCATATTGAATTTTGGTGACCAGGCCCTCTTATCACCACACATTGACTCGACACGGATTTGAGATTCCACACACGGGGGACAGAATGCATGTGTGTGTCAAATGAATTCGTACATCGAACGCAATGTAATTTCTGACCATATGTACAACTTTTAATTGCTTAATTAAATGTTAAAAGACACTTAAATTATTTTCCATTTCCCTCCGGAGACAAAAGAACCAAAAGTATATATGTGTGTGCAATTCCGAAAGGAGCTAAGAGCATGCCGAAGAAAGAATGGAAATAACGAGGCGGCCAGTAAAACTCGCATACACATTTCACTAGTAAAGGTGCATTCTCGTAGCACGTTGACTAGAGAGAAATTGAAATCGTTCGGTGTGCATAATTCATTCATGCAATCATCCAACGAAGAAAGAGCGAGCGATCGAGCTAGAGAGAGAGAGAGAGAGAGGGAGAGAGAAAGATGTGGAGACAGTATTTTGTTGGTCAATTCATACAATTGTTCACTTATCAGACATCCGGTACGATGAAGGGTGCATATAACTTAGGCCATATCACCAACGGGGAATACATCTCAGTTGATAAGCTGTTCTGCACAGCGATGACGTGATTTCCGCCTCAATTTGCATTTCCATGGCAGCAGCAACAACAACAACAACTATAATAACAACAATAACGAGATAAGAAAAAAAATACCGACCGAAAAATGTATTGTTGAAAATAATGTTCACTTGAGTAAAATTCTTGAAACCAAAGTGAAAAGTCTTGATTGTCGAACGAACCTCTTATTCGAAGAAACTTGTGCCTTTCAGCTCAATTCATTGAAAAATATGTTGGATAATATACGATGTAGTAATTATGATTATTGAATTGAGTATTCTATTTCTTGTTGTGTGTATATAAAATGGTCAAAGATGCGTCAGATAAATGCGAAATACCAAGAAAATAGAGCACGCATGCACAACTATGAAGAAAGTGGAAAACAACAATGAACAAAAAGGAAAAGAATGAAGTCAACCAAATTATGCCATATGATAAGGAAAGTATATATGCTATGTAAAGGAATGAACGCCATCGAAAATATGATAGAGAGAATTGTGGTGAACAGGCGGTTGCAAATGCGGTGCACCCAAAGTTCGATGGGAACACACTTAAATACGGTGCCATTGTATACCAGCGCCACTCATAATTGCTCCCATATCGTTTTCAGTTTCAATTGGATGAGAGTTCAATATCACCAATGCCCATTTAATCGACCATTTTCACAATTCTATTTCATTTCTTCTGCAAATCGAGCACAGGACAACTAACCCCACAAAATAGAGTGTGCGACGAGGCAATTCTTCGGGTTGTGTGTTTTTTCTTTATTGTTCCAATGGAAAATTTTTCGATGAAGTTGCCATAAGGCATAATTGCTATTATTATAAAAAACTTATGGTTCGCATACATTGCCCGAGTGAGCCACTGCTCTGCTGCTATTGCTGTTGCTGATGATGGTGATGGTGACTGTTTAAACTCTGTCTGTACACACAACAAATCATACACACATTCCGCTCGGCATGGTAGCAAAACGATGAAATATGATTTCAATCAATTGATGGTTTCCTTAGAAAATTATTCTACGTGTACTACCCAGTATGGGCTTTGAGAATATCGTTAAACCATCTTCTTGATATGGAAATCATACATTGGCATTTCATGAAAAGTTTTCATCTGAGAAATCATATATCGGGTCAAAATCAAAGAGAAAATTTCAGTTAAAAACCTCAAGACTTTCGAAATATTGTTCGATATAGGACTTCAGTCTTCCGTTTTTCAATATAAACAAATGCTCGAGTATTGCACTAAGAAGAAGAGCAATGATGCATCAGACAAAACCGACAGCTGAAAGCAAACGAAACCAAAAACGATGAACAACAACAGCGATAACCAAAAAAAAAAATCGACGAAATATTTATGAGCACCATAATTTCATTTAAAATTAAAACTAAACCATTTATCCTTTGGGTTCAAGTTGTTGTATGCGTTGGCCAACATGTACATGTGGTATGCATTTCACTTCTGGTTGTTCTTGTTTAGAGCAAACAAGAGAAAATGAAAGAATGGAAAAAATACGAGCGAAATGGATATTCTGCGTGGCTGAAGAGAATCGTTGCACTTGATGTATATGTTTCCGTACAGCGTAATTTCTCCTCTGCGATGAAATCATGAAGCAATCGCGTGGACCAACCGTCGTACAATCATCATAATCATCATCATTCGTTGCGTATGGTGTTAAAAACATTTCCCCTTCATCGCAACGCATCATCTGCATGCGATGTTTTGTCTTCGTTTTGCTCTGTTCATCGGTTCTGTTGCGAGATGCGTGTGTGCTGTTGCTGCCGCTGCCGCTGTCGTTGCTTTCACATAATCACATTCTCCAGCCAATTGGTTCTTGCTTCCCACAGAATCCGGTGAACTAGTGAGTGCATACGTTCGGCTCCAAGGTGCGCAAAGTGCTTGCAGCATTCGACGCTATGCAACATAACACCAAAGAAATGATCTGCACGTTAACGCACCAACACCACCGACAGCACCAGCAGCAGCAATATCTCCCATGCTGTCGCATTTCCCACTGTATGCAATCTGTTTATATCGGAAACATCGCAAATTGCCACCAAGCGCATAGAGAGGAGAAGCGTGCAGGCGAGCGAACGCACACTCAAACGAACGAACGAGCGTTGTATAGCTGGAGCATGTCAAAACACATGCTGAATGTGACGGGCCAAAGAACAAGATGATCAAAGAAATGCCTGAAGACATTGTCACACGGAACCCGGTCGCTTTCGTTCTCCTCACACTCTCTATCTCTTGCTGTGCGTTGTGACCAACGCTTCGTCATCGTCGTAGTCGGCAAGTGTCATTGCAACACTTATCATCATCATCATCATCATCGCATGCGTTCGCAACGACCGTATCTCACACTCATACGTTATGGTCATACCGTCACTGCCGCTTCTGTTGCTGTTGCCATTGCCGCCGCTGCTGCTGCTGCACTCCATTCTATCCGACACTTATGTGAATTCTGTAACGCGAATGCCAATTTAGTTCGTGTTTCGCTCTTCAGTAATGAGGACGTTCATACATCGTCGTAGATTCGTTCGCGCGTGTTTATGTTTTCCATAGAAGAAAATTCGATTCTTCCGAAACATTACAAATTATCACAACAAACGCAATTCATTCGATATCACGATCAAATCGAATTTTAGCAAATGTATTATATGTTTTCGCGCAAAAATTACTCTCAAAAAATTAGTTGAAAGAAAAGAAGAAACGCATTTCAATTCAAACAGTGTCGACGAAATATTTTTATGAAGCGGTTAAATTGCACAAGTGAATAAAAATTGCAGCAAGTGTGTTCTTGTTGATCTCATCCCCATCATCCAAGTGTAGTGCACTGAATCTGCATAATAAATATTGTGATCGAAAAACATTGACATAGTGCTTGTGTTGTACATTAATTTTTGGTTTAATCCAAAAAAAAAAAAAAAATAAAAATAAAATGAACCAAAACCGAAGAAAAAGAAAAAATCATACATTTGAATAAATTTCCACACTCGTTTTGATTGTTGCGCATGGTGCGAAAATCGGTCACACTGAATAAGTCAAATGATTTGATTAAGCGTGGTGTTAGTGCGTAAAAATTGCATTTCCCAAATTTTCGCCGATTTCTCGCTCACTCAATGTGCATTTGTTTGACACACACGATGTGCAACAGCAGAGCAAATTCAGCTAAATAATTTTTTGCGTGTTCACAACATTTTTTCACCCCGGTAACATTGATTATTGTGTTCATTCATAATTTATTCCGTGTAAAAGTAAATCACACGTGGATATGTGACAGAACCAACCAAATATTGAGCGAGAGAAGAAGAAAAAAGTTGAAAAAAAAAATTGTGATTGAAAAAAAATAGGCACAGTGTTTGAAAACATCATAGTGTGTTTTGCCAGCAGTACAGCATTTGACAGAGATTATTTGATTTGCATTTAAAAGCTGGATGAAAAAAAATATAAGCGTTTTGTGTCATAAATAGAAATTCGAGTGAATGGAAGAAGTACAATAGGAAAAATCGAATACAAAGTTAAATGAAAAGAGTGTATCATCAAATTGAAAACCAACCCAAACATACCGATTTTGGAGAATCGTCAAACAGTTCGTGTTTAAATCATACAACAACAAGTGCGAATTGAATTTAATTCTTACGGAAATCAAAATATTCCCAGTGAAAATGAAAAACGTATGTTGAAAAGAAATATTTTTTCTTTCGTTTTGTTACATTAAAACAAAAATTTCTGTTGTTGTTCTTAAGTTTTTATTGTGGAATTTTGTATGTGAAAAAAGGTTGGTTTGGCTGTTTGGTTGGTTTGTTGGTCCAAGAATGGTGTGACCAATGTAAGTCGGCAATTTTGAGTTTGTGTGCTTGATTTAATTTCACAAATGTGACAGCAATTAAGAGCTGTTTGTTTCGTACGTGATCGAATGTGTGTGTGTGTGAGTTCATTCGTTTGGATATTTTAAACAGTAGCTATGCTAAAAGTATAACTGCATTTGCAATTCATCGATTAATTTTTTTTTTTTTCGTTTCTTCGTCTTGTTTTTGTTGTTGTTGTTGTTGTTTACTGTTCGAAGCGGCTGTTCAATTAAATGTTGACATCACATTTTGTGGCATCATGAATTTTATGTGTGTTTTTTTTATTGCTTCGTGAATCAAATGTAGAAGTGAAGCGATGAGAAGAGAAGGAAAAAGCAGAATTGAAAATGCATGAGTAAATGATGCGAAAAATCGAAGAAAAAAGACTGAAAACAGCATGAAACCTAAATGGTTATCAAAGCAATAATTACCTTTGATTGGCCTGATATTTTTTTTTTCTTTCGAAGGGAATACCAAAATGCATGCAGGCCCAGCATCAAGTAATATGATTATTAAAGTGTCGATGTGTGTTTGTGCTCATATGCGTGTGTGCGTTGTGCATCGTCAACAGAAAGAAAAAAAAAATCTGGCATTTCGGCAATTCGATTGAATTGTTGTTCTCGCTTTTTTTTCCCTTTCGGTTATAGTGATATTTTTTTTCGGATGCGCATTTTCTGTTATTTTTTTCTCTCTCTTGGTGTTTTGCCTTTTTTTTCTCGAAATTCCTGTGATCGGAAACGATAAATTAGTGCCGTAACACAATTATTGCACTCGCATTGCATTTTGTGTGTAGGTTTGAGAATCCCGAAAAAAATCGGAGAGAAAACGAAAGAGAGCAGATTATGTTCGTTGTGTGTCTGTTTCGGGCTATTGTTTTATGAATCGATAAGCGAAAAAGGATATTAGAGCAATTTCCACCGTCTCTTTGTGCCGTCGAAGCAAGTGAACGAATGAAAGAGCCGATCGAATCGCAGTATTGATTTTGAATCATGGTCGATTTAATTTCTTTCTAATTTTTTTTCTGTTCCGTCCACGACAAGTTGTGTGCTGTTTGTTTAACTGGTGATTGCCCTTTTGAAAACGAAATCAAAAAGCAAATATATATTAAAAAAAAACACACAAACACATTTCACAACAACCAAAGTGATCGCAAGCGATTTTATTGCCCGCCAACTACCAGTTTTCATATTCATTTTATCGTTGATTTGGATACTCTTAGTTCTTCGTTTTATGTTTATTCGGGTGCTTAGAATTAAAACTTCACATTCCGCGTGGTTTTTATTTATGTGTGTGTGTGTGTTTATGATTCGGCGGATAAAATCTTTGAAGAGTTGAGTTTTTGCTCGTTTCGTTTTTATAATCCAGGGATTCGAATAAAATGCGACAAAAGCACATTCTTTTTATGTGTCATTTCATCCAATCAAACCGATTATGAATATTGATTTTTATGATTTTATGAAAAACCGTTGATGATTTCAAGTTTTCACATTGAATCAGATGCTCCAGTGTATTTGTGTTTAATTAAAATGGGTGGGGAGGGAGATTTCAAATTGGATACCAAATTGAATTTCACAGCTTATTCTTGATGATGTTTGTCAAATATCAAAGAATTCCAAAGTGTTTCGCTTGTGTGGTAAATTTACGCAAACACATGCAAATTTTGACTGATGAAACAATTGCGGTACAAATGATTGCGAGTAACCACTGAGTGGAAATGCTGTGTATTAGACAATGGAATGCAACTATTTACGAGAAGCACATTTTAATCGGTTCTAACCGCTGCCAAGTGAAACTCTGTCATCATGGTTTTCACCCTTTTTTTTCTCCACCGTAAACACAATTCACGGAATCATGATAAAGAATGCACGATGGCAGTAAAGAGAAAATGACGGGGCGGGGGAGGAGAGTGAAAATACAATGTACACAAAATTTTCAGGCAAAACCGTTTTACGTTGCGCTACTGAAATTAGCGTGATCTCTAGTGCATATAAAGTGGCATGAGTAATATAGTTTACGAACTAGCTTTGGCTCGTGTTCGTTTGTCTCTTTGCTATCGGAAAGGAAGAGAAAAAGAACAAACGAACGAACGAGCGACCGACCGAACGAGCGAGAGTCAGTCTGAACTTTAATTTCAATTTAATCTAAGTTATTTATAAATGTTATCGTTTTACCCAACATTCAACCCAAAATGAAGCAAAGTAGATGGCGAACGTAAACGAAAAATAAATAACAAATGAGAGAGATAGAGAAGATTGGAGAATCTATAGTAAAGTGATAGCCCGTGTGCTCATCTCTAGCATCACATCGAATGATGATGAGTGTGATGAGGGCAGCAGAACTAAAGCACATCGAAACCACTGTTAGCAAAAACAACAATAACAACATGAAACTGAATTTACAAAAAACAAGTACACACACACACACACAGGGAGAGAGAGAGAGAATGAGATACACTGTGAACAAGACGCATATGAAACGAGCCACCAAATCATTCACATGCTGTTTTTGCCACTGCCGCCAAATGCGATGTTATGCACAGCAACTTGTCGCAGCACGAAAATTTATTGCAATACACCAAATTGGTATGCATTGAGAAGCTAGAGAGACACACACATATATACACATGTGGAGAATGCGATAGCAAGAGTTTATACTCTCTGTTCGCCACTTTACGTGCGATTGACTGACTGAACGAGTGAATGAATTTGCATTCACAACTGATGTGAACATTAAAGGAATCCGTACAGATGCTGGGCATATTCGATTTGCCTGTGTATCTCTTTTTTCAAAAAACATTCAATGCCTCAAACATTCTTTGCCTTTATATTTGTGAATTGTCGCGTTACTCTCTCTCTCTCAAGTCGTCTCTCATTCACTCGTTTTGCCTATGGCTGGCTCTCATGTTGTTTCTTCCTTCGGTTCGGCTTCCATAGAGTAGTTCTCGGTTCGGTTTCGAGTCAAGTTTTTGTTTTTGAATCATTGTCGTTGGCGTTATTGCGCCCCGTTTCGTCTTCAGCTTCAGTGGCTGTGTGATATTCTAGGAGTGAAACAGAAAAAAAAAATTTCATACCAAAGTATCTCGCACCGACGAGAGAAAGACAGTCTTTGGCATCACATGTAATTTGTATACGACATTGACATCGTTTAAAGCTTTTTGTTAGATTAAATATCATGGTCTTTAACAAAGTTTTACTGCTGCCACGGATTATGGTTGATACTTTTGTTCGGGCGCTCTTTCTCTGGCGCGTACGTATTTTGCTCGTTGTTTGAGCGTTTGGCCCGCACACACACACACACACAAAAAGCATTGAGAGTATTCAAATTACTTGTGCATCGTGTGTGCGTGTGCGCGCTCGCTCTATATAACTTCACTTGCTTTCCTTTTAACTTGCTTTTATTCGAATGCCTGTGAACTGTGTACTCGTTCGTTTGGTTTTGAATGGCAGTTGCAAAAGCAAATTGCTCGGTTGGTCCATTGGAATCTGCCAATTTGCACATTCAAAATCGCTTGTCTGGCGCTTATTCGTTTCGCCTTGCAAATGCGTTTCGCCATGTCATTTTCCTTTTAAATGCTGCCGCTGCCGCCAGCGTCTATTTTAAATCAGGGCCCCAAATTTCGATTTGTCTCAGTGGTGTGATCCAATTGAGCGGTTTGTTGTTTTAGCGTGCGCTTCCATAAATATTGACTACTCCATCGACTCAGAGCTTCAATGTTCAGTGTGCTAGCGTGAACTGGACGAGAGTTAACAGCGGCCGCCCGTCATTCACACAGAAAACGAAATGCCAGAAGAAGAAAAAAAATCGGATGAAATTGCAAAATAAAATCGCTGAATGACAACACATTCCTTGTAATCCTGTGAGTAAAAATGGAATAATCCATTGATTCAAATACACATTTATTCACTGTCGTTCTAGCTTTCGTCCGTTTCATATCTCTCTCTCTCTCTTTCTCAATTTTGTTTCTAGTGCAAATAATTCACACCCAGCTTCGGATGCTAATGCAAGACAAACGAATCAAATGGCACGGATTTGAGCGCAAATCTCACAATGCATACACACACACAAACACATTCAATGTCATACATCAATCTAATGTCCGGTAGCCCCTCAAAAATCAATTCAGTTTGAAGCAACAATGGCATTTGTGTCCCTTCTGACTGGTTGCTACTGTGTTTTTTATGTGTATGTCGTACTCAGGGCTCAAGTCGTTCGCCCATTTAACATTTTGACTGTTTTCCATACCAAATCTTCGCTGAGCTTCTGTGATTGTTCGCATTTGTTGTGTGTGCTCGCTCATTTTTTTCCGGTTGGTGGTTGTGTTGCCTTTGTGTCGTCATCGTCGTCGTCGTCACTTAGCTATTGTTTTATGGCCAGTCATCATCACCATTGATAGTAAACCGTACCGCTGTTCACATTTATTCCCGTTGTAAAAAGTCTATATTTGACTTTTCAACCATCCCATTCCTATTCTAACTCCTATACTCCCTCGCCCTTCACGCCAGCCCGTGCGCTTTATCTTTGCCAACTGCCACTGAACGAATGCCATCACAAAAGCAAAACTCTATAAATTCTGTATGCGGAATAAAAACAACAGAATACAAAAGACAGATGAAAAAAACAAACTGTGTGCACTGCACATACCCATCAACACTCAAACTTAAGACATACACAATAGAAGTAGATTAAAACCGATGGACATCTTTTCCGTATTATTTTATCCGCTGGTGTACGTGTATACATATCTTCCAACTAACTCTACAGCTCTCTCTCTCTTCTTCACACACACACACACACACACACACACACACTGTGTCACATCACTCTGA